CCTTGTACAATCGGTTTGAACATCATGGTTTAACTATCGCAGCTAGAACTGTGTGCCGTGGCACACTAGTGTGCCGTGAGAGATTCTCAAAATTTCCAGCCCTATCGACGGGCCAAACCATGACCATGTGCTAGATTTACAATATAAACGAGTTCTAAAGACTCTTGTTGGATTTGATTTTTATCATCCAGCTTAATTTGCTATAGTAGGCCAGCCATATGTAACTTTTATTTTATTCAAGAACGACGGGAAGCTCAGATGCAAGGAGTTCGACAGGGATAACTTCCAAATATTTTATTTAAACCTCATCCGGTGTCGAAAATGTCGTGTCCCACTTGCCCTATTCGTACTACTTGTCTCATGTGTTCTAATTGTTCCACGTGTCCTACTTAAAACATATTTAACACCACACAATATACAAGAAGGTACTCACGAAATAAGAATTTTTATAATCTTTTTTTGTGTTCTTATAGGGCCGGAAAATTTCTGGTATTTATCAAAAAATTGAATTTTGGTCAATCAGAACCAGTCAGTCGTGCTTGAGAAGCCATGATTCGATTATTGTTATAGAAACGTTATTGCCATTTTCCGCAGCTTTATAAAAAAAATAAAAATAAACAAAAACCGTACAAAATTATCATGGATGGTATATCTCCTCATTAAAGTCTTAAAACGTGTTATGATCCGCTGGTTGATAATCACATAGATTAGTGAACTGAGGGAAGTCTGCCATATGAAGACAAGAGTGCAAAAATATTATTCGAGTAATCCTGTATAATGTCTCTCGGAAATATTCTGCCTGTCATCTATTAGGATTACAAAATCGTTTTCTTCCAAGAAGCTATCAAATCCAAGATTTCTTGTATGAATATTACCTTTTCCTGGAATATTAATTATAAAATGGATATTGAGTCAGTGTGGTCGAATTTCCAAGAATTTATGATGAAAGACGAAAATTTTGAATTTAATTCTAAAAAATACCAGACATGTGATTCATGGCGGAATTTCCTCTTCAGGTCAACTACCCTCGATTCCCGCCATCATGACTCACCCACAACAATCCCCTAAGATAATTAGTGGTGTTTTAAAATGGATTTGTATAGAATGTAAACGTTGCTCATCTTAAGTGAAATATTTGTGAAAAAACCATACCTATTTTTATACATTTGTGTAAAAATGCGACTTAGTTTTATGTATAAATATATTTCTGTAAAAAAATCAACATTCAAACACATACTTGAGTTTTAAATGACATAGATGCAGAATTAGATTAGAACATGTCTGGCATCATTTTGTATAAATAGTGATGTCACTTTACGTGCCACGGCCAGTTTTCAAATTTTATCCATTGACTGATGCCACGGTGACTGGTGGTGTCGTTTCAACAAATCCAACTGTTCTGATATCGATTTATTCCTCGCATGAAATTTTTGATTGGAGGAACATTCAGATTTATATTAACCGAAGAATATTTTTAAAGTAACAAACTTTCATTACTTGGTAGATAATAGTCAACTAAGTTCTCAGAACTCGGATTCTTCGACCTAAACCGCCTATTTCAGCAAACGTTATCAATATTTCTGTTTAGTTTCCTGGGTATATTTACTTTGTCTCTTGTTAAGAGACGGTGAACCTGAATTGGCTAATATTTGATATTTAACTATTTCTTTCCCAAGAAACGTATGCCCAACGTATCGTTGACTTATTTCCATTTTACGAGAATTCTACTGTAATCGATCTGTGACATTGCTACGAATAGCTGGTAAACACCATACTCTACAGTAATCCATTAAATAAACAGCAAACGTGTTCTCTGTGTCTGAACCACAAAACCACAACTTGCTAGACAGCGTCTTGGGTAAATGTTTTTCACTTACAGATCCGGATCGATAGCGCACGATGTGCCCATCCATAGTTGTTGCATCATCCATAAAACTGAAATAACCTTTATGATAACCGAAGCTAGTATCACCCGAATCTCTCTAAGAATCTGGTCGTTTTTTGCTCGGATCAATTCGTATTTTTAAAAATGAGAAGTTATTTGTTTCAAAATTATTATTGATATTGTAATATATGCATATGCGGCCAGCGCGGCTGCAAAAACACAAATACGTTATTTCTGTTTTATTGAGAACGGATGGTCGGAAAGGACCCACCAATTACAATTTACAGCATAGTTATTGCAATGGATGTTGCGGGTGGATTTCCCAGTCGTCAAAATAAGCCTTGCATGAATTGATTTCAAAAAAAAAACCATAGACTCTAAATTTTTATAATTAATCTCGCAATATTTTTGTAAATTGAGTTCTAAGGTATTGTCTATTGAGTTACATGTCATTTCTTCCTGTTCAATTCCTACGACGGATATATATGTGGCACATACGTGGACGAATGGGAATGATAATCAGTAGCCTATAAAAATATCGAACAAATAAACAAGCTCAAAAATCACCAATTGGGACATGAAAAATGGGACAAATCGATAGATACCATATCAATTAGCTGATAATGCCAAATAGAAATATAAAAAATCTTTATATTATTAATATTGTTTGATTCTAAAATTCACAAGATGTTTGATTATATCACGTTTTGTTCGAAGCAATTATAAATATACTATATATATATATATACTATGATCTAAGCTAAGGTAAGCTTAAAAATATACTTGCTATTTCATGTTAGGAATATGTTATTCCTATTTAACGTGTTTATAAAAATTTAAGTGTATTCGGAAACCCTACAAACATGAAAGCATAATTGGCAAGACCGTGATTGACACGTATTGTTTCTTGAAAATAAGAACGGATATCGATAGTGAAACAATGGCCTTGCAATATGAATGGAAAACTTGATTGACAACTTGATAATTATACCAGTTATTGAAATAAACAAACAATTTAAAAGGAGTTCGTGTCGTGGAAGGAACTGCAGTTGTCAGGAACTGAACTTGTCAGCAGTAAACAATGTATAGTTTATTATATTGATGGATTGCTCTTACAACTTTCATCACTGTTGATTAAATATGGGGAAACAGGATAATTTATAGGCGACTCAAACTTGATTAAGTTCTCAGGTATAGCGGTAGCTTTGCTCTATACAAATTCAATTTTCTGTTTTGATACGGTGATACGACGGAGGTAAGGTCATAGAGACCCCAAAACTAAGATATATTTTGTCAGCTTGCCAAATCCACTGAGTTTGTATGTTGTGGTAATCAAATTGCATGCACAGAAATTTGCGTTTCGGGTTCAAAATACAGATGTCAAACCCCAGTTAAAATTTCAACAAAAATGCTTTCAAGCACCGCGACTGAGGTATGCATTGAAACATCCTGTTACATCGAATTAATCCAAGCCATAACTACTTGGCGAATAGATGAAATATAGATACGGATACAGGGGATCGACAAAAATCCATTTTTATGGTTTGGGACTGTTTTGTTTTACTATATTTTGTATTATCGAATCCATTATTCTGATCACGATAATAAACTTCTTAATAATGCCATCTTACGACAGTCAAAATAAAGTATACTTTGGCCTATTTATAATAGTAGGAATTGTGAAGTGAGTAGCTAATGACTTTATGGTACCATCGTGTATTTCCATAAAGATAACAAAAGCTCAGAAACTGATTGTTGATGTTGCGGGAGGATTTCCCAGTCGTCAAAATAAGCCTTGCATGAATTGATTTAAAAAAAAAAACCATAGACTCTAAATTTTTATAATTATTCTCGCAATATTTTTGTAAATTGAGTTCTAAGGTATTGTCTATTGAGTTACATGTCATTTCTTCCTGTTCAATTCCTACGACGTATATATATGTGGCACATACGTGGACGAATGGGAATGATAATCAGTAGCCTATAAAAATATCGAACAAACAAACAAGCTCAAAAATCACCAATGGGGACATGAAAAATGGGACAAATCGATAGATACCATATCAATTAGCTGATAATGCCAAATAGAAACATAAAAAATCTTTATATTATTAATATTGTTTGATTCTAAAATTCACAAGATGTTTGATTATATCACGTTTTGTTCGAAGCAATTATAAATATACTATATATATATATATACTATGATCTAAGCTAAGGTAAGCTTAAAAATATACTTGCTATTTCATGTTAGGAATATGTTATTCCTATTTAACGTGTTTATAAAAATTTAAGTGTATTCGGAAACCCTACAAACATGAAAGCATAATTGGCAAGACCGTGATTGACACGTATTGTTTCTTGAAAATAAGAACGGATATCGATAGTGAAACAATGGCCTTGCAATATGAATGGAAAACTTGATTGACAACTTGATAATTATACCAGCTATTGAAATAAACAAACAATTTAAAAGGAGTTCGTCTCGTGGAAGGAACTGCAGTTGTCAGGAACTGAATTTGTCAGCAGTAAACAATGTATAGTTTATTATATTGATGGATTGCTCTCACAACTTTCATCATTGTTGATTAAATATGGGGAAACAGGATAATTTATAGGCGACTCAAACTTGATTAAGTTCTCAGGTATAGCGGTAGCTTTGCTCTATACAAATTCAATTTTCTGTTTTGATACGGTGATACGACGGAGGTAAGGTCATAGAGACCCCCAAACTAAGATATATTTTGTCAGCTTGCCAAATCCACTGAGTTTGTATGTTGTGGTAATAAAATTGCATGCACAGAAATTTGCGTTTCGGGTTCAAAATACAGATGTCAAACCCCAGTTAAAATTTCAACAAAAATGCTTTCAAGCACCGCGACTGAGGTATGCATTGAAACATCCTGTTACATCGAATTAATCCAAGCCATAACTACTTGGCGAATAGATGAAATATAGATACGGATTTAGGGGATCGACAAAAATCCATTTTTATGGTTTAGGACTGTTTTGTTTCACTATATTTTGTATTATCGAATCCATTATTCTGATCACGATAATAAACTTCTTAATAATGCCATCTTACGACAGTCAAAATAAAGTATACTTTGGCCTATCGTGTTGTAATAGTAGGAATTGTGAAGTGAGTAGCTAATGACTTTATGGTACCATCGTGTATTTCCATAAAGATAACAAAAGCTCAGAAACTGATTGACCTAGAATGCACTGGCATATAATACGATGTCATTTTGTCAGAAACAATATTAACTTATTGCATCTAATGGTGATTGTTCGGCCCGAAATGATCGTCAGAGCGTTTCGAAATGTTTGCTTCTTAGAGTTTCGTATTTCACCCAGTGTGGGTCGATCCCATAAACATTTGAATATTTGTTCACGTAGAAACTATTGTTTATATTGAGATGTTTGGTGGTATGTCATTCATACGTTTGCAAAGTGGCATGAAACGAAGCACGTTAACTTGTGTATAGTGCGTTTAGGTGTCCACGAAATGTTAAAAGTACAATTTAAACAACAACCTTTAACATTACATATTGCTTATTTATCTAAGTACTTCTTCTAAACAAATCTTTAACGATACCTTTTCATTTAGTAATGTATTTTGACTAACACACCGATTCCTATTCGGTTTAATATTGTTCAAGTGGGCAGAAAACTGTTACGCTCACAAGCTTCATCCGAAACAGTTAGTAAGGATTGTCTTTTCACTTGAAGCAAATCTTCATTAAATTTTAGAAGAATAGTTAACCCATACACGTCCACGCGGGAGATTTGACCGCGATGATGCAGTATTTTATTAAAAAGAGCGTTCTAGTTTCATTCTTTCTATATTATCACATTAATGGAGGTGAGTGAATGTAGAATTTTTAGAAGTTGTCAGATCTTTGCTATTAGTAACTTGGATAGCAAGTATATTCAATCAGTTTAAGTGATGAAACTGATATCAATTTTTGGTTAGTGTACTCGCAAAGTGTAAATAGAGTGGGAATTTAAATAACAATTTTAATCACGTTAACTAGAAAGCACTTCAGATTTTGAGTGAGGTATAAACTACAGCAAACAAAATCAAAAGTAAAGTCTTTTTATTAATGAATAATATGCTAAGCTGCATTTGGGAGACAGAGGGGAAGATTGTCTGCGGAACGAAAAAAGATTCCAATGTTTTGCTGGTGAAAATAAAACTTTATGTGAAAGACAAGGATGCTATTCTTGCCCACACACAGGGAGGCCAATATGTATAGAAGGTTTGAATTTTATTGTGTGAATGTGTCGATTTCATTTTTATGTATTCAACTCATGCAAATTTGCCGACTGTTTATAAGGTTTAGCATGTAAAAGAACATCACTTACCTACGAAGCTGACGATTGTTGGGACGAAATACTAGAACCTACAGTAGAAGGATGCATGGCTAAAAAAAGGTGCACGTGGTGCAGAACAAACGCTGTTATCAGATGTGTGCGAGGTTAGTGATAATTGGAGCCATGGAAGTTAGAGTTTCAGAGACCTTAAATATATCAAGATCAATTGCCTTTAACAATTTGTAGCTTTTACTCAGTCGAATATGTCATCAGGTCATGGATGCCATAAAATGTAATCACGAATTGACTTCATTAGACTTTAATGGTACTGATTTGAATTAATGTGAAGCTTTAAACAATAACAAAACATTTTCTCAATTCCAGATATACCTTTATCTTATGGCGGAGTTCGGCCAGGTAATTATCTGACATTTTTTTTAAATTTCAATACTCCTATTTTGTTTTCAATCAAAATTACTTTTTGATCGTCAATCGTCACCAGTGGATAATTGCATTCAAACCGCGCCAACAGAAAGAGTTCGATGCACCGCACCGGGAAATTTTGAATTGTGCAGAAAGAAGGGTTGTCACTTCTGTCAAAACGAAAAACCAAAATGTATCGAAGGTATTGTGTGTGAAATTTTTAACCGGGAGTATTAGGGATAATATTTACACGGAGTTGATAAAATAATACTTCAGTTGTATACTTCCAGTTCAATTCATTTGTTCATGGAATATTGTACTAATGCTCAACAAGCATATTCCTAATTTTTCATACATTGCCTCCCAAGCTTTAGCTTGTAAAAGATTGCGACTCCAGAGTATGATACAAATATGTATAAACAAATTTGGAACATTAGCCCTTACCATCCAAGACCACTTTCCTTCAACTTCTCGAACTCTTCCCGCAATTCTCGCATTAGGCAAGTCGCAGCAACTATCGATTTTATATCGACTTTTCTAACCAAGTGGACAAGAATCTACAGAAAAACATATCAAATGCAAAAATTTTGATAAGATTCTTTGCTAAAATCATATAACATTCACTACTTGGGTACTATGACAATTGCATTGAATTTCAAATAATATGATTCCTTTCGTAGATCAACTTATGAAAACGTGATAACCAACAGCAGTGCACGATAACCAATTGCAACATAAATTCACCACATAAACGAGTTTATCGATTTTGTCCTGAAAATAGTTTTTTTTGTACGGTGGTTTAGATCGCGAAAATATGTTGAATGTTGTATTCCACGGCCCCGAATTCCCAAATAACTCAAATTGCGATTCATTTTCCTCCAGTGGATCATAATTACAGCAGTATGATAGTATTGAAATATGTTATTATTTTTATTTTTAATATTCTAACGCTTCAGCCAAAGAAAAGGGGTCAAGTGTGGTGAGATATCTAGGAGAAGTTGAGAATTTATATTGGTCCCTTTTCACTCTGCGAAGAAGTTTTCAAAAATAAACCCGTCGAAACAAATAACACAACTCGAATTTGCGCTGGTTTTTTAGAAGGTGGAAGAGATGCTTGTTATGTGAGTGGCAATTATCTTTACCCATTTTTGCACAAATATTCAAAATATGAGACGTTTTATATTTGTTTTAGGGAGACAGTGGCGGTCCTTTGGTGTGTCAAAAATGCAAAAGCTGTGGCTGGTACATTGCTGGTATAGTCAGCACCGGTGTTGGTTGTGCAAGACCGCTTACTCCTGCACTATATACAAAAGTCCAGGCGTAATAGAAAAGGTCTAATTGAAAATGGAGTGCCCGACAAGAGAGAGAGTCATGATTGCAAATTCTACTGATTGTATATTAATATGTTTTGTATGAAATTGTACGGCAGCTTTTACTAAAAATCAAAGAACTTACATTGCATTTTGATCAAGTGTATATTGGGTCAATCAGTCTCAATCTAAGCTGTTCTTGTCTGTATGAGGATACGACATAATAACATAAGCGTGACCATTAGCTACTGAATTCTAAATTCAAATCTACAAATGTTTCAAAGAATAACTTTGCTTTTACTAACCTAAAATACTATAAAAAAGGCGGCGCAATGCCCCGCCAATTGTCCAAGTAGTAAAAAAAATATAGTTTTAAATAGATCTGATGAAACGTCTATTTATCATTTTTGTTATCCGTTTTCGTCTTTAAAAACAGATTATGATCGATCTACTGGATTTGGCTTGTCAGCAGTTTTTCATTCTAAAAGCCTGATTTACCCCTTTTGTACGCTTCTGCTCATTTAAAATTCTTAATTCATGATTTCTTCGAACAAAGTATTTTTGTATTATGACGCAGAAACGTAGTTTAGTTTTTGATCATTACCATTCCGGATATACTTGGTTGGCAAGATGACAAAACATATCATAGATTATTGGTTTTTGGAGAGTTACTTCGAACGTATCAAAGCAATAAAAATGTTACTTTTAATTCATATCAAAAGGAAAGCTACTGCTACAACTAGGTATTAGATCAAGCTTGTAAAGACTATAAATCATCCTATTGTTCCATACCTAATTAACACTTATAAAGTTATTTGAGAAACTTCTCTTAATAATCCATCAATGTAATTTAATGTGCGTTATCAACTGACAAACAGCCCAGTGTCATGAACTTACGCTTCAGAATTATCCAGTTACCAATAAAGTTTTCTATTGTTTCATTAGGAAAGGCAAATAATCTAGTAATTACTCGTTGTTTATCGATACCCATTCTTTGTTTTTGTGACACAATACATGTCAATCATGAACTCGCTATCTTTACTTTCATATGTGCATGGTCGTAGTTTCTGATAAAGGCGAAGGACGTTGTTCTCCGCATACTTACTTTTTACTATCCTTAGACGAAGAATACGAAATTGATAAATGGCAGTGTTTAGGACGAAGCAAATTGTACATTTTGACTGCCAGAAAAATCGACCCATGAAAACATCCGACTATTTTTCAATAAATTCGAATAAGCGAACAGAGATTAGATTTATTTTCATGGATCTGTGGACTTGATCGTTTTATCCTGATCTACAACATAGAGGGTATTTCTCGTTGGTTTCCGGTTTTGACATATGGAACACGTTTGCGGTTTGTTTTATTGACTATATTGCTTATAGGGTTAGCATTTATGCTATTCAGAGCAATGTCACAAACCATATCGCGGGATTGTAAAACCTAATTTGAGCTATCGTTAATAGATACATGTTCTCGCAATGGATTACTCTTAAAATTCCTATAACAATTTTAAATGGGTCAACAATCATTTGGTATTTGGTAAATCATATGACACACTACAGCGGGGGCGTTTCTTAGAAAAGCGTGAAATTATTTATTTCCAGAAATTCACACGATCTATTTATTTAGGACCCTAGCTAAGGTTCGTGTTATTTGAACTTGAAACAAAATAAATATATGCGAGAATGAAACAGGTTTGTTAGTAACGTTTGCTAATATAAGCGATTTGGGCCGAAGAATTCGAATTATAAGAACTTGTTGATTTACCAGGTAATGAAAGCCTGATAACCTATTTAAATATTTCGACCAATTTACGTGTTTCTGCAAAATTTTATGCAACAGATGGTTCGATATCACTATTGTTAAAATCGTGTTTTATTGAAAACAAACAAAAAAATAAATAAACTAAATGAATTACATCTACATTTCATGCTATTTGTTTTGAAGCGCTCACAACTGTACACGTGCATATAGGATGAAATAAATCTAGAGTAGGAATATACTGATTAGTGTATGTGGAAACCGTGTTTATTAAATGTAAAAAGATTAATATAATATTTGAGCGTCATAGTTTCTAAGCTAAGTCCCGACGATGTACATCATTCATCCATATAGAACAACATTAGCGATTCGACAAAAACCTTTGTCAGCACGATGGGAAAATTTGGTATTTGCACTAAGATTGAAATATCAAAGGTTTTTAATATCTAGATATAATAAACAAAACAAAATGGCTTGAAGAATTGTAAATGCTTTTATTTCTTTTCCACGCCGTCACACCTTATAATAATGATTCACACATTATGTGCACAAAAATGTTAAAAAAAAACGTACAAATAACTCAGAAATTGGCTACAACAAAATGTCTGAATCGGTGAGCGTCAACAAACAATATTTTCGGAATGCGATTAGGGAAATCTCAAATAAAAATATCATTGTAAAATCATTATCACATCAATCATTGGCGCAAATGTATTAGATGACGGGTAGTTGTGTATAACACCAACATGAAGAGTAACTGTTTCCGACTTTTTGAGCAGGTGATGCACTGGCGATGTACTGTAATAAAAGTATTGTCTGAATAAAATTTTGAGAAAAGGCCACTGGAAACGGGAAATAGAAAAATTCCCAGACATTTCCATTGAAGTGTGTATAAACGAAGAATAAATAATACACCGGTACAATTTACTGCATTGACTCAGCTTTTATCAGAGCAAAATGATGATAGTATGTCATGTCTCATGAATTACAGATAATCTATCTATGCAATTTTAAATACAGAACGAATGAAAGCAATTAAAAATTATGATTGATTGATGTCACGTAAATAAGACTATTACATGGAGTCATTTTGTTACATCTTGAAAATAATTTGGCATAATAAATTCGAGGAATTCTGCTGGTTAAAATATACGAAACTCAAAAACAGATCCAAATAATAAATTTGAATTAGAAGACTGATATTTTTAAATTTCGCACTTCATGTCATTGTCACATTAAGAGTATCGT